CCTTTCTTTATGAAGATGTAAGTTTCAGAGCTGTGCCATTTGAAGCACTTTTATTCACTAAAAATAACATTTTTGTGGTATTGGGGGCTTAACCCAAGGTCTTCCACCAACGAGTAAACATGTTACCATTGAGCACTTTACCCCCAAAGTTAAAAATCACATCAACCAAATTAGTTGAAGCTGGAGAGATGGCTCAATGGTTTGAGAATACTTGCTGCTCTCCTGTAGAGAACCTAAGTTTGATGTTTAGTGGTGGTGGCACTCGCCTTTAGTCCCAGCACTTGGGAAACAGAGGCAGGCGGATCTCTGTGAGTTCCAGGCCAGAGAAACCATATCTGGAAAAAAACCAAAAAACCAAAAAACTGATAGAGGGGAGAGAGGAGGGGAAAGAGAAATGAGAGAGAGAGAGAGAGAAAGAGAGAGAGAGAGAACCCAAGTTTGGTTTGCAGCACAACTAACTGCCTGTAACTTCAGATTCAGATCCAGGTGATCCAACGGCCTCTTCTGGACTCTCACCTGCACACAAATGCACGCTCACACACGCACGCACACACACTTTTTAAAATAAAATATTTTTTTAAAAAAAGATTTTTAAAGGGGCTGGAGAAGCCTGGTCTACAATGTAAGGATTCAGCATTAGGCTGGCCTGACCCTGTCACCTGGCAGAATGCACTCCCTCTGTCTCTTTACCTCTTTTTTCTTTCCTCCCCCCTCCCCTTTCTAATAAAACTTCCCAGTTAAGCTCTGTGTGCCTGTCATATTTGTCCCTCCATCTTGGTCACCCCAGCCTGCCATGGAATCCACTAAGGTTCACCACACTTTATCATAACGTACAGAGTGAGTTCAGGGACAGCCAAGGTTACACAGAGAAACCCTGTCTCAAAAAACAAAAAGGGGGTGAGGGTGCTGGAGAGATGACTCCGGGGTTAAGAGCACCAATAGCTCTGGCAGAAGACCCAGATTCATTTCCCAACATCCACAAAAAGGCAGCTCACAACTGTATAACTCCAGTTCCATGGGATCTGGCGCCCTCTTCTGGCCTCTGTGGAAACTACATGCACATGATACAGACTTACATGCAGACAAACCAAAACAAAACAAAAAACGGCCATACATGTAAAATGAAAATAAAGATTTAATAGAGGATTAACTTGCATTACCCATCTCCTCTTGTGAGAATCTTGGCAGGCTGTAGGCTAAGGAATGGGTGGGTCCATTTCATCCATTACTGAGCCTGTGGCCTGTGAGCAGAGTTGACTGTGGTATTCTCATTGCCCTTTGGATGTCCATGTGAACTGTAATGCCGTCTCCTTTCTTCACTTCTTGTATCATACTGTGTATTTTCTTACCTGCCCTCCCTTTATTAACTTGGTTAGATGTTTCCTTCCTCCCTTTTAGTCTTCAAAGAGCCAGCCCTTTTGGTCCTTTTCTGTGATTTCCTGTCCCACTGACCTTTAGCTATTCTTTCCCCTTTATGCCTTGCTTTAGCGACGTAACACAAAACATGTCAGGATGTATTTTCAATTCCAGGCAGTTCAATGCGATTTTACATGTCTGTGTAGACTTGTTTCGCTTTTGTGCTTTGCAGATAGCACCATTTAACCTCCAAAGATGTGGGTACTTTCCAGCTTTCTTTCTCTTAATGATTTCTAGTTTAATTTTCCTGTGGACTGAGAACACACATCATATAATGCTGTTCTCATAGTCTGAGGTGTGCCTTGGAGCCAGAACCAGCTCTCCTCGGTGTGCATGCCACATGATCTTCATAAAATTCTAATTCTGCTGTTGAAGATGTCAATTATCTCAGGTGACTGGGGTGCTGAGTCAAACTGCACACTCACTGATTTCCTGCTTTCCTCCTGCTCTGTGCTGTGCACACGCACGCGTGCGCGCGCGTGCACATACACACACACACACAATTCACACACAAATTCAGAATCCTTGTGTAGACTGAGCAAGTGCTCTGCCTCTAAATTGCATCCCCAGCTCTAGAGTTTTCTAGGCAAGGTCTTAGTATTGGTCTGAAACTCACAATGAAGGTCAAGGGCCTAGAACTCACAATCCTCCTGACTGCTTCTCTGTGCTGAGATTACAGACATGGTCCATGAGGCCTGGACCTAGCATTATCTGCTGGAGCAGTGCTCAAGTATCTGTGTGTGATAGGGAACTCATCCATTCACTTTTCCTTGAAAGTTCTAAGAGGTATTTTTGTTTGTTTCCATGTGTTTTGGTATTCTATTGTTAAGTAGATAACACCAAGGATTGTTTTATTTTGTAGGATTGAAACCACTTTTTGGTTTTGCGACCAGAATCTCTACTTCAGGTTGGCCTTGAATTGCTTACGTAGCTAAGGGTGTTTTCCAATAGTGAGGGTGGTAACTCCCAGCTGCCCCACCTCCTACTATTAACACCTTAGAAATTGGTTTCAACGTAGGGATGGCGGGAGGATAAGAGCTATTGGACGCTGGTATTCTGCTGAACTCACTGCAGGCAAAGTATATTCCGTCCATGTCAGAAGCCTCTAAGCAGTTAAGACATTCCAATACCAGGTCAGAAACCCAAAGCCCAGTGGTCAATCCTGACTCACTCATTCAGCAAACTGCTCTATAGTTATGAATCAAAGTTTTAGGTTGTTTCTCTATGTAACAACTCTGGCTGTCCTGGCACTCTCTTTGTAGACCAGGCTGGCCTTGAACTCAGAGATCTACTGGCCTCTGCCTCCTGAGTGCTGTGGTTAAAGGTGTGCGCCACCAGCATGGCCTGGCTCTCAGGTTCTTGCCTCCACATTGTGTCTGGGAGGTAAGCAGGACAAGATACCCCCATGATTCCAAATTGCAGTCCCAGGAAACTGGCCCCGCAACAGCAGCAGCCAAATACCCAGACTCATTGCTTGGGAGTCCTATCTTCATAAAACACTAGAACATGAACCCAACTTAATGCCAGTTCCTGACAGTGTAGCCCTTTCTGTAGTTTCTTTTAAGGTTTATTTTTAACTTTATCTATGTGTATGTGTGAGTACCTGCAGAGGCAAGGAGTGGTCAGATCCCTGGAACTAGAGTTAAAGACAATTGTAAACTACTCAAACTTGGGTCCTCTGGAAGAGGAGAAAGCCCTTTCTGTTCCAGACTCTTGCTAGAATATTTCTATTACTAATTAAATTTCCTTCAAATGTCTATTGATCATTTCTCAAACAGGCAAGCTGAAGTGTGTAAGGAGTACAGGTTTTTCTGCCCGCCTCCACTCTTGTCCTGAATAACACACAGAGACTCTGTATTTGATATTATGTTGTTGGTCAGGTGCTAGTTTCTTATCGGCTAGCTCTATCTTAATTATTAACCCATTTCTATGTATTTCCACATGGTCTTACCAGGGAGAGGCGGCTGGTGGTTCTATTCTCTCCAGGCTCTCCATCTTGACTCCTCCTTACTACTTCCTATTTCCTCCTTGTCTCCTAGTCCCTCCTATCTTCCTTTCCTATTGGCCAACAGTGCTTTATTATTAACCAGTACGAGAAACATATATACATAATGGCATCTCCCATCAGAAGTGTGTCAATATATCTTTTTTCTTTTTTGTTTTAGTTCGTTCTCTATCTTTCCCTTCTTTTTTCAAAAATTTTTTAAGTCTGCTGATTTTTCCCTTTTTAAATTATTTATGTGTGTGCACATGAATGCATACATGCATTCATATTGGTGTACCTGTGGAGGCCAGACAACAGCCTGAGTTGGTTCTCTCTTTCTGCAATGTGGGTTCTAAGATCCAAAACTAGATCTTCTGGTATGTCAGCAAGCATCTTACCCATGAAGCTATATTGCTGGCATGATTTTTTACTTTTAATTATTTCATTTCTATCTTTTTAATTTCAATTTGTACCACTCTAACCTTTTTTAGTGTGTGTGTGTGTGCACACGCATGTGCACACTTTCATAGAGACCAGAAGCCTTGGAGCTGTAGTTCCACAGAGTACCCTGGCATCTACTGTCCAAGTAGTGAAGACACTGTTCAATGTTCTCGCACCCACAAGCAGTTTTTCCAATGTGCTCGGTGTATCTCTGTACATATTGCTACAGTTAAATACAGCTTTATATTAACAAGTGAACCACCCCTTCCCCTAGATCTATTTATTCCCACGTTTCAAGCAAGACTTTGGCCAGCATGGGTTTCTACCCCTCTGAACTGCTGTTTCCTCAACTGGAAATGTAGGTTACTCATGGGCATGAATCCTGCAAACACTGCAATGAGTCCTGCCTGCCTTGCTGCCGCGGTCTTCACACTGAATCATGTGGGCAACCCTGGAGACACATCTTGCATCCAAAGAACAGAACCCAGGCCTTCTGTGGCCCCCACCCTAAGTGTCCTCCAAGAGGAGGGCTGCATGGGGCCCCCGGACTCACCACACACACTGGAAGACGTCACCTGGCACAGGAGTGAAAGCAATAGCAGACGGCAGGCATGTGCTTCATTTTTTTTTATTATTCTTTATTGGTCCTACCAATGTGACTCTTTACCCAGGCCCACTTTTCCTATGTGCGCTGGCTGTGGAGACGTTCCCGCCACACAACCGCATCTTAAGTCTTGGTTAGTGTCTCCCTCCTATGCCTTTTCCTCACTTGGCCTCATTTTCTCAGAAACTGAGGGTATCTGCTTATTATTATTTGTTTTGGGTCTGTGTAAAGGTTCTTTGGCAGGAGAACATGCATATGACTTTAAAAATAAAGACCAACATTCTGACACTAAGGTAACACACAGAAAAAATACAGTACTTAGACATCATTGCAAATAAATACCCCATACAGATGATGTTATCTCAAATGTAACAATATTTGTATGAATCAACACTGTAACAGAAGGCAAAGAGTCCCAACAACTAGGAATAAGAAATGCTCATTCCAGGAAACAGAATTCTTCAATTCCTAACAATTTATATTATTATAATTTGTCCCTTTTTTTTTTTTTTTTTGGAGGCCAGAGGACAATAGCTCTTCCTCCACTAGTACCAATTGGACCATACCCTGAACCTCACTTAGCAAGCAGTTTGCTAAGGAGTTTTAGTGACTTCTGTTTCCTGAAATTAACAGTGATTAGTTACACCAAGCAAGAGAAGAGATAATGTCTCCTTTTCACATTTGCAAAGAATACTATGGCTAACCCTCTTCCCTACTCACAGCCGACTGCATCGCCGGCTCTCCTGACGCCCTCGGCTCTTCACAAACGTGATGTTTGTACAGCTTGCTTAGTGTGTCCCATGAAGTCCATTTGGTTCCCAAAGCACACTCCAGGTGTTTGTGTCTGTTTTGTTTCTAAGCCCCTGAATTTGCATGTGAAGAATCACTGACTAACAGAATTTTGCACAATCTCGGTTCTCTCTCCCTCAATGAAGATGCCCAGGTACGAAGTGAGCCAGGTACCCGCTCCTACCTGTTGGTCCACGCTGGCCTTCAGCATTCCCAACTAGCTCTCCGCTGCCTATTGTAGAGAGCTTGCTTGGCTGGGACACCTCCCTTAACTGATGAAGGCACTACTGGCAATGGTTACTAACAAAAAGGTGTTGAAATAGAACACCCTAAAAATCGACAACTGTAGAATTTTCTAAGTGTACCACAATTTGGCACAACAACCAGAATAACAAAACAATTCCAATTTGGAATTTCACTGGTGCAGTTGTATAAAATTCTGTTAGTCAGTCATGCTTCACAATGTCCTAAAACCCAGAAAATTCTGGAATTTGTAGGTAATACTACTCATTCAATAATTTATGCTTTCAAGTGCCTATTACTGTTTTAACCAGAGCAAAGGTCAAGTTTTCTTCTTGTTACGTTGAACTATTCCTAAGAATAATAATAATACAATATGAAAAACCCCAGAATTGGAATACCCTGGATTTCTTAATGAACATGGCATTTAAAATCTGTAATTTCAAACGTGAACCACACAATGCCGTGTCCTCTAAAGGCTGTTGAACCACAGCGTGGATACACTAGCCAGCTCCTTGCCGGGTCGAAGCCTCACCTGCAGTCTAGCTACACACTATGGAGCACAGCTCTGCCTCGTGCTGACGCCAGATCAACACGCCAGAGCTAGGACGGACAGCTACAGGACCATGAGCACAGACCACGGCATCGGAGACCGTCTCTACGCAAGGAATTAAGGAAGCAAATATAATATCAAAATATCAAAAGTGCACAGGTTGATCGGATAAAAAAGGAGCATGTGTAATAAGGAGGGGACTCCCCCACCCACCCATGGCAGGCGGTCCAGCAGGCCCTAGAGGGCCTGGCAGTGGTTTCAGAAGCAGGTTCTTCGGCTGTACACAGCCTTTCCAAGCAGCAGCTCGCAGCACTCTCAATGGTAAAGCTTTTTTTTTTTTTTTTTTTTTTTTTTCCCCTCCTCCCATTAAAAACTTGGGGAATGCTATTTTGAAAAGAATTACAGTGGCATATCCAAACATCTCTAAGTAGACTTTAGGCTGCCCTTCCTTCCTCTGCATAGGCCATGGGAGGGGAAAGGGGAGGGGCTGCAGTGTGACAGGGCCGGTGGCCACGTCCTCCCAGCAGCTACTCTACAGCTGAAAATAGGAGAAAACAAGACAGCATTAGAAACCAGTCACCTGCCTTCCTGCTCACTCGACAGCTAAAGCTCTTGTTCTGGGAGTGAGCGAGCACATTAGTTGGCAAAGAAGGCCTGCATGTGTGTTAGGGGATGGGGCTCTAAGTGCCCGCAAAGCCCCATACAATGTAAGAGAAGCTGCGTTCTGGCCCAAAGAAAAGGAAAGGCAGAAGGTGGGTAGGCATGCGGGCAGCCATTCCCAGGACGGACATGCAAGAGACACCATGGCCTACTCTACCCTCAGTGTTCAACCGTGGTGCCTAGAGTCTAAGGAGACAGGAACAAGCTAGGCACCACACAGAGGGACGAAAGGGAAGCTGTCTGAGGGACCACAGGGTCCCATGTTGGGTACCAATGCTGTGTTCCACAGTGAAAAGATGCCTTTCCACAGGGAGAGACAGGCAAACGGCTGTCTCAGGAGATGGGTGAGAAATACTGAGCAGCGCTACACCTCAGTGCGCTAAAGCAAATGCCTGATGCCACAGCTCTACTGGACAGAGCCTCTGGAAAAGGACAGCCTCCAATGGCCTTTCTTCCTCCTGTCGTGTCCCTACACTGCACTGAGAACCACATGACTCTTACTTGCTGGCCCTGAGCACAGCTCCGGGCCCACAGAAAGCCCTTCCAGCTCTACTGTACCAGTGCAACTCGGTAGAGCTCACCAGCAGTTCCCAAAACCCTGGTTCTGACTCCCAGGAAAAGACCCGAGCATGGGCTATGGTCTCCAAGTACCCAGGAACAGGCTCTGCACCAAGGACCAGGGCCTGGCCAGACACTTGGGACGCTTTCTGGTTTAAAAAAGAAAAAAAGAAAAGAAAACCCAGGACCTCAGGCCTTGCCAGTCACCTCACAGGGCAGAGTGGCATGCGGATCTCAGAGATGAGGCCCTAAACAGCCAAGCTCTGTCCTCCTGGGCTATGATTACGTCTGAGGTGTGGGGGGATCTCATCACAGAACACAGGCTCGTGGGGTCAGTTCCCTCTGGGACAAGGAAGACGTTCTGTCCTGAATAGGATTTGCAGTGAGATGCTGCACAAAATGCAAGGAAACACTTTTCATGAAACTATGCCAGCCACAGAGAGCTAACCTGGGCTGCTCCTACGATGCAGGCTGGAGGCTCCTAAAACTGCTTTCAAGTGCTGACATTAGACACATGCGAGTTACATGCATGCTTCAACTCAGGCCCACGCGCCCAGGGAAGGACTCTTCCTCAGGTTCTCCTAACAGTGCCGGAGACCCTGGAAACCCTTCTCTCCTCACTGTCTTACACAAAAGTGTGTATTTCCACCCCATCCTTGATACCACCACCCCAAGACAGCAACTGCTATGGGAGGGATATCTCTGAGGGGCTGTGAAGTGAGAAGCAACACAAAGCTCAAAGTTCTGGTGACAGGCGTGTCCAGTGCTGCCACTCGCCTAGGGTGCTGCCCTCCCTCCCTCCGTGTGTTAGTCACGTTAAGACCAGCCTAGCACTGCTGTCCCATTGCAACTGGGTTAGTTAAGGTGAAGCGGACGTTAGCGGAGTGCGGCGCCCCACAGCCCTAATCACAGTAAATGCTGTGCTTCTCGCTGCAGAACACCTGGTTGGCCAGCCCGGCGCCCTCCGCCCTCTCGCTGGCACAGGCACAGGTGTGACTTACGCTCGGTGAGGCTGGCTTGGCCTTGGGGGTGGCCTTGTTGCGGGCCCTGCGGGTCTGCTCATGGTCCAGCTCCAGCAGCTCCAGCCGCTGGGTGAGCGCCAGCTTCTGCTGGATGGCCATGCGCAGCAGGGAGTTCAGAGTCTTCTTCTCGTCCTCTGCAGCAGCCAGCTGCCTCTGCATCTCATCCAGCTGTGTGATGTACTCGTCACATCTGTGGAGACAGAGCACAACTGAAGCCCGGGCAAGGGAAGGCGGGCCCCAGGCATCCCACTGCAGGGTGTCTCTCATCTGCCTGCCTGCCTGCGGCACTTTCTTAATTAGTGATTGATGTGGGAGGGCCCAGGTACCCTCCCTGGGCTGGTGGTCCCAGGTGCTGTAAGAAAGCAGGCTGAGCAAGCCAAGAAAGCATGTCTGTAAACAACACCCTCCATGGTCTCTGCATCATCTCCTGCCTCGGGTTCCTGCCCTGACTTCCCTGGATGATCAACTACCAGCTATAAAATAAAATAAGCACTTTCCTCCCCAAGTTCTTTGGACCATGGTGCTTTTTTAGAGCAATAGAAAACCCTCAGTGAGCCAGGCATGGTGGGGGCGCCTTTAATCCCAGCACTTGAGAGACAGAGGCAGACACGTCTCTGTGAGTTCAAGGCCAGTCTTGTCTACATAGGGAGTTCCTCAAAAGAGAAAATAATTTTTTTTTTCCTAAGCCCCAGTAGGAGGAAACTTCCAGAGAAACCCTGGAACTCTCCTTGCATCTGCTGCCCTGGATGCTGCCTGCAAGGATGCTAAGACACTAGGAGCAGCCAGACGGAGTGAGGGAGCAGGCCCCTGGCCCATCCTGTCTGCCTCTGAATCTTAGCTTCTTCACGCTCTACAGGAAAGGTCTACCAAGTTCAGGCTCAGTCTTGCCATCCCCAGTGTTGTACCAACTGAGGTCAGCAGGTGGCACCACCTCTCTTTGGAGGGAGAGAGGCAGGGGCCTGGTTTTAGAGCCTTAAGGCCATTCTTAACCAGCCTGGGAATCCTACAAACCCTGAAGAGGTCCCCAGGCCTCAAAGGTCCCCTATGGGAGAGGAAGGAAGGCTGCACACCTCCACCTTCCAGGCCTAAAGCTCCCTCATCCCCTTCCCTGATGGGAAGGCTGGAAATAGATGGCAAGCTGCTGAGTTGGAAACCCTGACAGGGTCCTCCTATAAGGAGAAGGATAACAAACTAGTCTGGGCCTTTGCCCCACTTGAACAAGGTTAGACCTCAAGTCGTACTCCCATCTCTGACTTTAGAGCCTGTCCTAGAAGTTAATCTGTAGACCAAGCTGGCCTTGAACTCACAGAGATCTGCCTGCCTCTGTCTCCGGAATACTGGGATTAAAGGCGTGCGCCACCACTGCCTGGTGGCCCTTTGCTTCTAAGACTCCTAAGCTCAAAGCACAACAAATTGAGCCTCCAGGTTCATTAATACTGAAACTTGCGCGAGGTTTCTTTCTGGGGTCACAGGAACAGGGAGACAGATGCATGCCTCTGCTGAATGCCTGCCTCAGTAGTGCCTACCAGGCCTGTTGCACATTTGGGCACAGAAGGCTGGGTGTAGCCAGCAGAGGACCCTGGTGTCCGTCTTTCCGTCTCCTTGCTCTCCCTTGTTACTAACTCAGCCAGGCAAGGAGGGCAGCCCCTCATACATGCTGGGCCGGGCTGTCATTTCCAAACCTTGAGCTGTGTTGGGGTGCCTGATGGCTACAGCACAGCTTTGTGAAGCCTGGGGTAAGGGCAACAGGTAGCCTGAGGAGGGGAGAGGCTGCAGAGCAGAGAGGGCCACTAGTGGTGCAGTTACCTGGTGGCAAACATGGCGCGCAATGAGGAGAAGGTGGCTGCGTCTTCCTTGAGGGCCTTCAGCTCATTGCGAAGCTTCATCATGGTCTCAGTCACCATGGCCTTCTCGTTCTCATACTTGCTCTTCAGGTTGGCGAGGGCCACCTCAGCCGTCTGGGGACAAAGAGGTATAAAGCAGGTAAGCAGGGGTGGAGCTGCTCAAGGGAAGCTTCGGGGTCACAGTGGGAACCCTGGGACTAAGGTGGAGCTTCTGCCCGTGATGTTCTCTGGAAAAAACTTCCCTCATATGCAGTCTTAGGGACAAAATGATAGCCATGCTCACTGGGGGTCAGCTGGCCTCGGTGAGATCCACTCCCCGATCCTGATTCGCAGAGAAGAATGGCGTACCACAGAGCCTGTCCTAGAGAAGCCACAAAGCCCTGTGTCATGCCCCTGAGGCACTTGGGCCACAGCTCAGTTATTTCAAAGGGCCCTCTAACGCCCACAGTCACTCCACCTCGTCTGAGAGCCCAGAAATAGGGGACAGTAGACTAATGACGTAATGGCACAGGCCTGCTAGTCCTGCGCAAGTGGAGGAGGCGGCACCCTCCGAGTGGGACCTGGTGCCCCCTCGCTTTGTCTCACCTGCTTGTTGGCCTTGAGCACGGTGCGAAGTGTGGTGATCTGCTCCCGCTTGGTACTCAGAAGTGACTTCAGCTTGAGGATCTCCTCCATGAGTGCCTCCTTGTCCTTGTCCACGGCAGGGCCCAGCTCCTGTGAGGCCATTCGCTGCCGGGACAGCTCAGTTGTACGGTCTACGGCTGCCTGTAGGTGCTTGATCTGGTCTCGGATGATGGCGATCAGGTTGTAGATGTTCATAGGTTCCCGGCGGGGGTCACTCAACGGTGACGGCAGTGAAGAGCTGGGTGAGGGGCTGCTGTCCCCAGTCCCACCATCTGCTCGGCCCACCTCTGTGGCCAACAGCCCCTTGGGCAAAAGGACAGGTGAACGGCGCCCTCGGCCCTCAGGGCTGGTGCGGCCAGCCTTGCCCTGGCCCTCACGGTAATAATCCAGCATGACGCGGTTGGGAGTCTCATTGTTGCACATACACACGTGATGGTAGAGGTTGGCCAGCTCCTCACTAAAGGTCACCAGCTCATCCTGAGCCACATTCAGGCTGCCCTGGGTCTCACCAGCCACATCGCTCACCTTCTTCAGCTCCTTCTCCAGCTGGGCCAACAGCTCTCGGTCCTGGTGGCTAGCCTTCTCTAGCAGAGAGACCTTCTCCGTAAGTGCCTGGCCCTCAGCCTCGTAGCGACCCTTCTCTTCAGCATGCTGGGCCTCACACGCTTCGTGTGTGCTGCGCAATGCCTTGAGCTGCTCCCGGAGTTCGCCAGCCTCAGCCACAGCCACGTGGTACTTGCAGGCCAGGATCTCAGGCCCATTGATGTCCACCTCATAGTAGTCACCATCTTCGTGGCTATCACGGTCCTTCTCGTTATCCAGGGAAGTCTGCCGTTCCTTGCCGGCCTGCAGGCGCCGCAGAGCGCTAAGGTTCTCTGTGAGGCGGCTCACCTTCTCCTGTTGCTCAGAGAGCGACCCCCGAGCCTGCTCCAGCTGCTTCTGTGTGTCCTGCAGTGTTGCTAGTAGGCCCACTTTCTCTCGCTCCATCTGCAAAGGAGGATGTAGCAGGAAAGATGGTCAACAGGCTTAAAGGACTCTAGCAACATCTCAGGCTATGCCAGATGGGCTGGGCCATGCAAATTCCCTGCTAGTGACAGTAGACTGGACAGAATTCACCAACAGAAGTGGGCACCCATAAAGGCTCACTCTACATGTGTTGGAGCAAAGCTGGGCTTCAAGTGTGGAACTGCAGGGCAAACTGGCGGAGCCCCTAAGTGTCCCAGCTCTCTACCACTTTCCTTCTCGTGTTGTGCAGGACACTCACTCACTAGATCAACTCTAAACTTTCCGATGTGCCAATGTACAGCCCTGCTGAGACTCCAGCTGATGGTCTGTAGGTAGGAGTTACATGAGGGGCCATGTCATCCCACCCTGACACGATATGGGTAGCAAAGGGAGAAGCAACTTTACACCATAATCCAGAACCTACTTCTCTGGGACACTACTCTTCACTAACAGAGATTCATTTGGGGTAAAGAGACACGACTTAAAACCAGTATGAGTAAATGAAAGGCAGCCACCACATTCACAATAGCACACAGGCCGGCCAGCACTGCATGGGGACAGGGAAAGATGGAGCATGAGGCCCTGCCTATTCACCTGTACCAGCTGCTGCTTCAGCTTCTGGATCTCAGATATGTGGAGCTCACTGAGCAGGTCGGAAACGAGGCTCGGGGTGGGTGGAGCCAGGCCATCCTTCCTGGGTGTGGACGTCTTGTTGTCGGGCGAGGATTTGACCAAACCACTATGCTCAAAGCCATTGACCAGGGCTTCAGCGTCATTGTTGGGCTCAGCAGTGACGGCGTCGTCACTGAACTTGAGGCCATCTAAGGACACCTGCAGGTGGCTGGTGTAGAAGGAGTCGTTGATGCTCATGTAGTGCGACAGCTCCTTGCGGAGGTTGTTCTTCTGCTCCCGCTCTGTCTTCAGAGTCTCCAGCGCCTCCTCTAACTGCCGTTCAGAGATCTCCTTAAGCCGGATGGCATCCTCCAGCTGGCTGTTGAGGTACTCGGTCTCCTCCTCCAGGCGCTTGATTTCATGCTTGAGGCCCTCAAATTCCACCTGGAGAATAACACAAATTCCCATGTCAAGGCAATATGGAGGGAGGCTCAGGACAGTGCCAGAACACTACCCCCAACCTCAAAGAACAAGGAGACCCACACAATGAAATGCCACCCTGCAGAAGAGGACAGCGGCTGCAGCCAAAGGCCACTCTCTACATCAAGCAACATGGATGCTAAGAGGGTACTTCTGTAGCACTGGAAGTAACAGAAACATTCTGCCCACTGCCAGGACCAATGCCCACTTCCCACTGCAATGCCATGGCTGAGGATTCACACGGAGACTGCCAAATTCCTATTATATTTCTGAAAATTAGTACCAGTGTGCACGGATTTAAAATTCTATAAAATTACTCAGTTAATATTAACAGCTAACCACACCTCTTTCTTTTAAATGTGTTTGGGGGGGTGCAGAAGCTATTGTGCAAAGTAGAGATTTTCTCCTTACTGGGCTCGAGTCACAAGGCTCAGCCACCTCAGCAGCCTTAACCAGATTTTTATTTTTTTTTAAAGATTTAGTTATTTTGTATACAGTGTTCTGTCTGTATATATGCCTGCAGTCCAAAAGAGATATAATTACAGATGGTTGTGAGCCAAAATGTGGTTGCTTGGAATTGAACTCAGGAACTCTGTAGAGCAGCTAGTGCTCTTAATTTCTGAGCCATCTCTCCAGCCAACCTGATTATTTTAAGGCACATAAAATATACACTTTGATGTGTGCTATGGCCATTATTTTCAATCGTATTTCAAATCAAAGAAACTGGACTTCCCCTCAAGGCTGAATGCAAGTTTGGAGGAGCTGGAAGATAAGAGGGAACGCTAACTGGTCATGTTAACAAGACACACTCTGAGAGCGAACAAAGAAAGAGTAAATGGAAGCTGATGCTTACTGTGAGTCTCCGGGTTCTGTCATATAAAAACATCTCACCGTAGTACTGAACGAATCTCTCTGGGTTTGGGGTAGGAAGGGAAACCTGGGACCGCATTCTTTAAGTGTGCCCACGTCCCAGTGCCCCAGAACTACAGGTGAGTCCTGCTCCTGGAGTTGCCCAGCACCAGAATCCATGCCCTGCCTGCTTTTGCAAACACAAAAGCTTCTTTTTACACAGGCACATGGACTTCCTCCTGCAGGATATAAATCCTGGGTCCACTGACGGTGAGGACTTAGCTGTAAGATGATCTGGGTGCTAGAGGGGTTCTAACAAAAGCAAGACTGCATCCATGGCATCTGGGGGTAAGGTCTGGGATTTCCTAGAGAAAAGGCTCCCTATAGGCTATAGCTCTCCTAGAGAATGGGAAGCATGCTCAGGCACTGAGTGGTTCTCACCCTCACCCATCCGGAAGGGCTTCCTAATCTTTGCCACAGGCAGAGGGGACATCTCCCACCCCTGCAACAGGCAGAATCATGGCAGTATTTCAGGCTTCATGGTCAGTCTCTGGAGGTTTTAGTTCACCCTCTTCATCTGAGATTCCCCCATACCTTGGTGATGTGGAACACTGTTCTCCGGACATGACATGGCCCTTGCTGTCTCGAAATCAGAGCAGCCATGATTACCCAGCTTGGAGACCCTCACAAGATCAGGCCTATAAACATTCTCTCATAGAGGGAAGGGGTAAAGTGCCATTAGACCCTCACCCAAGATTCTAGCCATTCCCTGCCTCCTGTACCCTGACCCCAGCTACACCCAACCCTCTTGAGCTATCTCAGAGGTTGCTAGAGTAGACAGGAAGCAGAAGGCTAAATGAAGAAAGAACTCAATCACCCATGCCCATGACCCCCACCCATGCCCCTGTGACCCCCTCACCCAGGCCCCTGTAACCCCTCAATCACACCCCTGTGACCCCTCATCCACGCTGCCCGTGACCCCTCATCCACGCCCGTGACCCCTCATCACCCATGTCCCTGTAACTCCTCAACCACGCCCCTGTGACCCCCTCACCCATGCCCCTGTAAACAAGCTCAACACCATCACTGGTTCACCAAGGTGGACTTTGTGTTGTCACAGCGGCCTATCTGTTCTAAACAGAAACAGACTCCCCAGCAAGAGTAATGCTATACTTGACGGGAAATTGTTATACTAAAGTCACAGGCCTGTTTTGTGCTCTTGGAGTGCTAGGTGCTTTGAGCCATATTCCCACCTCCAGTGTGGAGGTGCTACTGTCCCTGGCCTCGGGCACACGGAACAAGACAGAGAAAGGGAACATGGGTGATTGGAAGGCTGAGATGGCAGCGATGACCCTACGCTGGAGACTCGCCTGGTTCTGCCTGAGCACAGACACTTGTTTCTGCAGGCTGATGTTCTCCTCCTCCAGCTCTGAGTAGTCCTGAAGTAGACGGGCTTCCCGGAACTTGTACTCCTTGATGTCATCGCGCAGGCGGCCACGCTGGATCTCCACATTCTGGTTGATCTGCAGGGGCAGAGAAAAAAGCTGGGTAGGCTGCTTCTATAGCTGGCCCTATCTCGTGCTTCCAAGTGGCATAAGGGGGCTCAGCACTGCCAGGCATGCTCTGGGTGGCTGCTTGGGGGGGGGGGGCCAGGGCAGTGGGGTTTGTGCAGAGCATTAAGCAGCCCACAATCAGGTCTGGCGGAAACAGACCGCATGGTGACCATTGCTGCTTGACAAACTCCAGCATTTCAACACTGCAGACCACACCTCTTCAGAACCTTTTCACTATCATTTACAATGATTCTTAATACTAATGCCTTTCCCTTTGGGAAATGCTGTGTGGGCTCTGGTAAAGGGTAAAAATGTGTACAATGGTAGCCTCTCTAAACAAAATGATTCTTTGGAAAAAAGATCCTGCCATTGTAAAGCCAGGAATTCCATTGTGTCCTCCTAATTACACCAAGAAGAGGAAAGAGAGATTTACTAGACACACCTGGTCCCAAGGATGAAATACTTTCAATTCAGATGAGCCTGAAGCCATTTAAGGGCAAGAGTTCAGTTAATAAATACAGAGAAATCAGAATGATACAGTATAATTGGAGAAGAGTAAGACACCAGGACCTTCCCTTTTGGGAGCATTATAAGGGGAACAGGCCCATACAGTACTGTAATATAGTGTCTGGTCCCCAGAAGTCCTTTTCCCAGGGTCAGGCATTTGAATAAAAGTCTCCGTTCCCTGTAGGCTTGAAAGTCCCTGATGGATAAAGCAGTCATCTTGTCTCTAGCAAGAAAAAACGTGTAGCCTTCATTAACATATGACCCTTGCTTACTGTCAAGGTCAATGCTAGATTCCCCAACCCCTGATCTCAAGCCACATCCCAGCTCACATGCCTCTTGTCTCCTGTTTAATCCTATGTACAACTATACAATATAAAAACTGTAATCTTTTCTCAATAAAGCACTGGCAGCCAACTTGATTCACTCTCAGATCATGTCTGCTCACCCCCATCCGACCCCCAACTCCACACATGCGCTCTGAAACCTGAATACCACCACCACCCCACCACCACCCACCCCTCACCAAAGCAGGTCTCTGGCACAGATCCCTTCTATTTCTCTTAGGTGTGGAACTCCAGGTGAGTGACTCAACCTGCTCTAACCCTGCTGAGCTCTGCAGGCTCCAGGTACTGTCCTAACTGGGGCAGTGAAGGAGAGAAGAAATGACAAACACAGACACAGAAGAAGGGCTGGGATGGGGCGATCTGGACTCTGATGGAGGAGCCACAGCATCTCAGAAGCTCAGCATATTTATTATACACCGATGAACAAGGAGGCGGGGTCTGCTAATCTAGCAGTGTCTACAGGGGAGCCGTCTTCAGGCTGTAAACATCCAGGAAGAAACATTTTCTGCACATACTGTCAGCATTCACAGTTGGACTAGAAAAAGAACTTGCCATCCCTCTAAGCCTCACCCGGGAAGGCTTTACCATTCCCATGGATCTGAGTGAGGCATTGGTGTCTCTGACAGGGCAATGCCCACCCATGTCAAACAAGGCATTCACTCAGGACTTCATGCCCTCCCTAACACTGACCCTTTTTCTCCATCTGCATGGGGTCAACTGACTGGTGAACTGGTAAGCAGGGCAAGACTGTGGCATGTTTACAGATGTTCAGAGTGTCTACACCAGAGAAATAAAACACACCCACACAGAACCCTGCACATCAGCGTTGCCAGTGTTCAAGGTGGATGCAACCCAAGTATCCATTGGCTAGAGAATGGATAAACAAAACATGGTCTATCTATACAATGCAGTGTTACTCAGCCACATTAAAGAATGACGTCTTGACACTTGCTGCAACATGAATGAAGCATGAAGACATTCTGCTAAGTCAAAGAAGCCAGTCACAGGAGGCCATGCATTGTAAGACTCCTTTATAAGAAAGTCCTGGAACAGGCCATTCATAGCCATTAAAGTAGACTAGAGGGGCTAAAGACGGGCGTGGGAGTAACTGAAAAACAGGCTTCGTTTTGGAATGATGAAATCCTCTAAAATCAACTGAAAGGCTGGAAGTGTGTAGCAGTGGCAGAAGGCTTGCCTGGCACTGAATACAAGTCCTGGGTTCAACCCCCAGTACCACAAAAAGAATAACAACTGTAGGATGGTCCACTACCTACAACTGACTTTGTAGATGCTGTGGATGCTGAGGAGACATCGCCAGTGAGGGCAGAGCTGGGGCCTGGGCTTCCTGCTCGGCCTCTGAAGCACCTGTGCTGTTGGTCTCGGGGCCATGTGAGCATTAGGAACATGGACTAGAAGCGAGCTTGGAGCACACTTGGTGAGTTGTATAGGATGTGTTTCACCTCAAAAACCTGCTGAAAGCTGGTTTCTGTCTCCATGTCATGTGTGGACTTGGGAAGACTGTCAGAAGGAAGAGCTAGTGCAGGGCCAGGAGGAGCACAAGACCCACACTGATAACTCAACCTGCACTGCCTACACTGTATACAGGACATAGTGGGTGCCCACTCTCAGAGCCACATCATCCTTTGTTGTGGTTGTTATCCTATGTATCATAGGTTGTCTAGCGATTTCCTGACCTCTGTCCACCAGCGGCAGCCTCTTACCCTGCGAAAAGTGAAGATGTTTTCACACACCACCAATGTCTCCTGGGAACAAAATCCCCTAAACAACCCCTATACCCTCCCTGCCCAATGCTCACTTCTAATCCCTGTTCCTAAGGCTCAGATGGCCCCTCCAGACAGACATCTCACATGTTCCAGAGCCCTGAACTCAGGCCCATGGCTCTGTGCTCTCTTATCTAGAAGAACTGCCCCTGGTCACATTTGTGTGTTCATCTGAGGGGCATATGCCTCATAAGATGCCATGCAGGGAGATAAATAAAACAGTAATGTTGGATTAATGAGATGAAGTAATATCGTAAAAAATGGAGAGATGGAGAGGAAGGGAATACAAAAGAAATTGGAAGAGAGTGACACACAGCAAGCATGACCGACAAATGCTTACTTAGCACTCAGAACAAGACTTAGTGCATAATCTATGAAGGTGGACACAGCCCTCTCATTCGGTGACTGAAAAAGGCAACAGAAATGACAGCAGAAGACACAGATACCTCAGCAAGAGTAAGAGAAGCAGAGGGTGACACTGAGTCACAAGGGAGGAGAAGGTACATATGCTGAGAAGGAGAGAAACCGCCCTAACACAGCTACAATGGAGGCAGGACCACAGCAGACCTTCTCCTGAAAGTCTGGGGTGCTATGCAGATGGAAACACATCAGGCTCTCTACACCCCACTGGAGCTCAAAAACAGGGTGAGAGTAACTATTAAATGTTCTCTCTCTGCCAGAGATGACCTCAACTCCTGTACTCTCTCAGCAACTCAAAAGGGCTTGCCATGCGGTCAGAGCCCTCAGGGAGACTGGGGATGGAGGGCAAGGTCTGAGTCCCCCAAGTAGGCATCAGAGACCTAGAAGGCAGGGGTAGGAGACAGTGGTAGCTTCCACATGCCTAGGGCAGAGAGTGCAGCTTATATGACTGGAGATAGAGGCAGAAGGCCAGGATGGAAGCCTGAAAGAACCAGGCCCAGAGCCATACCAGGGGTGCTGTGCCCCTACAGGAGTACCCACATGTTCTGTGAGTCCTCAGTGCCCCTGTAAATCTGGCTCTCACGAGGCTCTCTAGGAGTTCTGTTCTTACGACACTGCTAGGACCAGAATCCAGGGTACTAGCCAAAATGTTTCCCTTTGGTGGAGTGTATGGGCCTGCATGGGCCTGTGGATGAGTGCTCTGTGGAAAGATAAGCATAGAGAATGTGCACACATACAAGTCACGTGCTGGCAAGGTAACATCACGTGATAGGCTAACTGCACCTTCTCTGCTGACAGTGCAGGACTCAGACATATATACACTTTCTATGGAGACTGCTTCTAACCTCAGCCACCAGGCTTAGCAGAGAGGTTCGGCTGGCCTGTTGCCTGGCACCTCCACCCATCACATGCCTGACTCCTGAGAGCTCCAGCACGCTCCAACTAGCCACAGGGGTTTAGTTTTCCCTCAGGGAAGTACCTCCTCCCAGGTGGAGTGTCTGATGTCAGGGTACAGACACTGCTCTGTGCAGATGACCAGCCCAGATGTAAACAGTGAGCACATGGGCTCAGAGCCACCCATCTGAGGTCCCACCCACCGGCTTTCCCTCACTTGGACCCCCCCTGACCAGCAAGAAGGGGGTGACAACTGCCTGTCTCAAGAGGCCACTGTGTTGGGGGACTGTCGGTCCTCTTTGCTGGCCTCTTGAGTTCCCAACCTTTCCCACACAGGGCTTGTCTCTTTATCACCTGGGGGAGGGGGCCCTTTTACCCTTTACTGAGACTACTGGGCCAAGTTATCCATCTGAGAAAGCACTTAGTCTGCCACAAGCCATTCTTCAAGTGCTCATCTACCAACCAGGAGTAATGCCAGCAAGACAGGAACTGACCAAACCGTCCACTACTGGTCCTACATGCAGCACAGCAATCATAAGTCAGGTCCCCAACGTTGTTCTTCCCCATAAGCCTCAGTTTCCTCATGTGTGACAGAACACTGGAGGGCCGTTTGTTTGGATGACTGGGCCTAAGACAGAGCTATCTGACATGGGTAAAATCATTTGCTGATGTAGAGTTAACACTGGCTTTAGACTTCACCTGGACAAAGCTTGTCTTCACTCTCTGAACTCCTGCGTAGGAGACACCTTGTCCCCACACTGCAGCCTCCAAGCTCTCTGGGCCCCATTCCAGCTATGGAAGCCTACCCTCTGCAGTAGATGTTCTCACAGGGCAGTCAGCAGGGCGCAGGCCATGAAGGTGTGCTCTATCTAGTCAGGGCTGTGCATGCTAGGCCCAGGGACCATTAATAGCAGGGAGCAGTCACTTTCTCTGGATGGGGTCTCTGAGGGTTTGAGGAACTCAGTCTGAATAAAAGGGGGTGAGGGGAAGGCAGCCTCCGCTCCTGGAGCCCAGTACATGATCTCATTTCCTCCCACAAGGTCAGCTCTGGTGAGGATGGAGGAGGGGCTGTCACTGAGGAAGAGAAGCAGCTCTGGTGACAATCCATCTGTCTACCCCTCCTTCCCGAAAGGAAGGGCTTTCTCCTAGGCAGCCCCTAGGCAGCCAAGAAGGTCAGATGACTGTCCTGGGCCGGAAATGAGCTCAGTGAATTGAAGACAGGCAGGTCTGGGGTGGGGGAGAGGTTCCTGTTGTTCCTGTTTATGCTTTAGGAGGAAATCCTGAGTCTCCCTACACACCCCTTAGCTGCCTTTTCTTTAAGTGCCCCCTTCTCTGTCTGCAGGTCTGTGGAGGCCTTCCACAGCCAAGCCATGGGCAGCCCTGCAACCTTCACCTTCTGTGCACCTATTTGGGGTAGAGGCTCTGTTCTCATAACTGTCTCTACCCATTCTTAGCTTTGGTCTCTCCTCTCCTCAGAGTTCCACAGACTCTCTATGGCTCTTGGCTTATCTTTGTCCCTGAGGCCACCAAATCACAAGTTGAGCCATTCATCATTTAGGCTACTTTGATTGATATTCCTCCCTGCTGGTCAGGGCCTGCTCAGATTACTCATGACACCAGTAAGATGGGCACAGTTGAGATGCAGAACTGTGTGTGTGTTCAGCTCTGAGAGACCACAGGAGCAAGATCAGCCTCAAGGAAGCTGAAGTGGCCCAACAGCCCACTGCCACAATGACAGAGGTCATGCCCACACTCTTACCTCTTTTAGCTCCTGGGCCACAGATGTGAGGCGCTCATTCTCAGACTGGGTGTTGGTGAGGACATTGCGCAGCTGCTTCAGCTCTGTCTGCAGCTCTAGCACCTTCCGCACGTAGTACTGTTCCTTGGAGGCTGACTCCTGGATCAGGCTCTCCTCCCGGCTCTCACCATCAGCAGCTACCTTTTTGTGGTTTGTGTGTGCTTGGCCAAATGCCTGAGTGGACAGAAAAGACTGTCATGAGATGGGTGCCTGGGGCCACCAAACTAGTCTTAGGAGCATTATATGGAGTGACGGGAAGAAACATGAAGAATACAGGGCCACAAACATAGGTGGAATTTCCTTTGTAAGGGACAAAGTTTGAGGCCTGATGATGTGTACCGGCTGGAAAGTTCCTAGCACCAGGAAATAAATGGTCTATACTGTGAGCCTGCACAAGCTAATGGGAAACAACCCTAGAGCAGCACACCCAACATACATTCCGGGCTTACAAAACTGTGCCAGCCATTACACGCAAGGGGCAAGGAGCAACTCCATCCTGTTACCTGATGCCAAATCATCCTTCAGTTGTTCTGGGACAAACCGGGGCTGGGCAACCAGAGCCCCCAGCCCTAAGGACAGGGTGCAGTAACGACTAGCTCAAGTGGCCATCTCAGGGTGCATAGGCACCGAGATGCATGTACCTGCATGCTTCAGACACTGGGGTGAGGAACAAGTGTGGGGGTGGCCCTGGGACTCAGGAAGAAAACTACCAACTGAGAGCAACAAGTGCTTGTCTCACCCACAACCCCATGTCATTCATACACCGAGGCCAGCTTCTCTGCTGGATCCATACCCTAGGGCCCTGGCCAGCCTGGACTCTATTACATACCCCAATGAGAGGCTGAGCCATCTACTCGGCCTTCCTTTCCTGACTTTTTATAGGAGCCATGGCTCATGGCAAGAAATGATATTAAGAGAAGAGTTACTAAGGAACAAGAAAATGATGGCTTTCACTAGCTTTAAAAGAGAACAGGACCACTTTTTTTTATTTATGACTTCATGGGTCTAGGAACTCAGTCCAAGAAAACAATGAGCAAAATACACAAAGCCATACTGCACAGGATGTGACTGAGCTGAGCAGTTCCTAATACTAACACATGAAAATGCAGAAAAGAATTTTCATCCTGATAGGGAACTGGCAGAATGGGGCAGGGTCTAGACTGAGGCACACACCGTGTCCAGATACTGTGGGAAGGCCTCACAATGGACCAGAGGATGCACAGCCCAGTAGAACCAGAGAGCATGTGTAGAGGGGTAACCTGGGGCTCACGGTGTGACACTCCTGCAGTAGACTGTGAATTGCCTCACGAGGTGACCAGGCCTTGCCCCTATGCTCTCAGTCCCCAATACAGCTTCCATTCTACACAAATCAAAGCAGTTCAGATTTGGAATTCCTGGTCTGTTCACCTTCACCCTGATCCTAGAGAAGGCTCAAGTCACACATTACTACGTACACAGCACCTGACGCATACTGCCTGTCCACCATAAGAGACATAAAGGGAACCAAACACCAAGCTGGCCCTCCAACTCAGGGCTCTGGGACTGTATTGAAGAGTCTAGCATCTATGGCTGCTTGAGGCACACCCATCAACTTGGGAATTGGGGCAAGGACTTCTCAGAACTTTTCCCCAGAGTGTGATGGTTAAGTACCATGATACAATATTCAAGCCCAGGCCTGCCAACCTGGGTCCCGACTCTTCCTCCACCCAAGCTAGCAGCCTAGGGCACAGGAACAGCTTTTCAAACACACTGTGATGAAGACATCTACCTCCAACTAAGAAGACAAAGAGTCACAGGGACAGATTACACTTCCAGTGTGGGAATTAAGAACTGGAAAGCACAGGAATAGTCTGATGGACAGGGCTGGTGAGAGGGCTCAGGAGGTAAAGCATGTGACATCAAGCCTGACAACCTACATACGGAACTCAAGATACACATGGCAGGAGAGAACTGACTCCCAAAAGTTGTCCTATGACTTCCATATGTGTATTATGGCACGTGTACACCACACACATACACACAAATAATGTTAAATATGATAAAATAATAAGCATCAGTGTTCAAGTCTGTGGTGCCAGGTAAAATGACAGGATGAGGAGAATCCTGCAACAGCCTTCATCCCTTCAGAAGGAACTTCACGGCATGGCAGAGGACAGAGACTGAAGCAGATGCAGGGTCTGTGGAAGATGTCTACAGACAAGGACATAAGGGTAGCCAGAGCTAAGGACCAGAGTGAGTCTTCACTGAGGATGGTCAGTGTAGGGCTGGGGAAGCCAGGGGAAAGGACCACATGGTAGAGCAAGAACAATCCCCACCACAGTCTGAAAACAAGCCTGTTCCTGCTAGCCAGATTCACAGGCTTGAGGAGAGCGTGTCTGGGGCCTGGCAGAGTCAGCCTGGATTACACGCTGCTCTAGCACAGCAGAACAAAGTGTAAGGACAGAACATGACAGGATTAATCCATTTCCAAGTCACTACATCCTAGAACAAAGCTCAGAACACATTCAGGAAAACAAACACATCCAGCTGCCAACAGGTGAGCTCCATGGTGAAGACCTAAGGAAAAAAGGATCAGCCGACAGCACACAGCCCTGAGCAGCCCAGAAGGGCAGGCAGGCTGAGGGTCAGGTACAAAACCAAATCCTCAACTCAGAAGGACAAATACAAGACATAAAAGACACCAGAACAAAGAACTTCTGGAGAGGAAAGGCCGGGTCAACAGCAGACACTGTGCATCTGAAGGATTAACCAACTCAGAAAGGCAGCCAAAGTGAGTGCCCAAATGAAACAAAAAACAATCAAAGCAGAGCCTAACAAACCCAAGAGAGCAACTGTGAAGTATGCATCAACTGCAAGGAACCTATCTATCAATTCCTCACAATGCCAGTCAAAGGTCCAGCAGCTTGCAGTAGAAAACTGACTTCATTCTAAAATTCATACAGCAATTTAAAGGACCTAGAACACATTAAATGACTTTGAGAGAGCAGAATTATCCTCACCTGCTACTATAAAGAGATGCATAAAGACAGATTAACTGACCTGAGCAAGTTTTGTGTGCTCCTCTTTCTCCTCTCTCCTCTCTCTCTCTCTCTCTCTCATGTGTGGTATGTGTGTGTGAGGGGGGAGGGAGAGAGGGAGAGAGAGACAAATAACAAACCTCAGATTTGAGTATGGTAGTCAACAGAAAATACAAGTAATCCCAGTTACTCGGGTGGCTGAGGCAGGAAGATGGAAGGTCTGGGCAATGGAGATGATCCCACCTTGAGAGAAAGGACAACCACAAGTGGGTTGGGGAGATGGCTCAGTGGGTAGGTACAATGCTGGCCATGTACTAATAAGGACCAGAGTGTGAACTGCCCAAAGCTACATAAAAACCAGATGTGGTAGGATGTATGCTTCTGTAATCCCAGTTCTCCATTACTTAAAGTACAAGGGCTGAGAGATGGCTCAGCAGGTAAAACCATTTGCCATCCAAGTCTACTAACCTGAGTTCAATCCCCAGAACCCAGGTAAATAAAGGTGAAAGCAAAGCCAGTTCCACAGAGCTGTCCTCTAACTTACACACACACACACACACACACACACACACACACAGAGAGAGAGAGAGAGAGAGAGAGAGAGAGAGAGAGAGAGAGGTGGGGAGGAAGAGAGAGAAGAGATGGGGGAGAAGGGAGATAAATTAAAAATTTTAAATACAGTACATCCATATGATGAAGTATTACTCCCAATAAAAAGAGCTGATATATCAACATAGTTATACCTCAAAATCACCATAGTGGAAAAAGAGATACTGTTCAACTGGGTGTTGGTAGCGCACACCTTTAAGCCCAGCACTCTCAGGAAGCAGAGGCAAACTCTGTGAGTTTGAGACCAGCCTGGTCTACAGAGTGAGTTCCAGGACAGGCTCCAAACCACAAAGAAACCCGTTTCGGGGGGGGGGGGGGGAAGGAAGGAAGGAAGGAAGGAGGAAGGAAGGAAGGAAGGAAGAAGGAAGGAAAAAGATACTGTTCGATTCCCTTTACACAGAACTCTAGAAATGTGCAAACTAAAACAGAGATGCATGGGTGTGGTAGACAGACTACAGAGGGAACAGGAAGGACCAGAGACAGGCTCATTACCTTGATTTTGCCAATAGTCTCATAAACATATTCTTACACGAAAACTTACACTGACTCAAGTGCATGAAGCTCACTAATGTCGCCTAAGGAAACAGCATGAATGTTTCTGAAGTGCTGTACCTCTCACCTGGAGAGTGTGAACCTGTAAGACACAGCCCATCCCTGTGGCCACCATCTCCAGCTTACAGGCTAGGAGGATGAGGGTTAGAGAGGTGATGTCAAATCCCGCTGTACTAAGCATCATCCCCTCTCATCCTATTGGTTGTAGGCTTCCTTCTATCTTAAGGAAGTGCTCCCTAGAAAGGAATTCCTGTCTGACTTGGGGGTTGGCAGTGGACAGCTGTGGATGTATTTGTAGATTTCCCTGACTCATCCTATGGGCCTCCTAGGTGGTACCACAGGAGATGGGAGCCTTTGTCTACAACCCTGGTGTCAGGTTCCACTCCTGGACCCCAGATGCAGCCTGCCCCTCCCACAAACTTCTCTAGCTGCTTCAAGAAAGGAAGAATACAGGGAAATAAAGACCGGCTAGCTAGCTCTCCACCAGTCTTAACCATAGGATGGTGAATGCTCTATGCTATGAGGATCAGCAGTCTCTGGTGATGTCTCTTAGGGACTACCCAGGCAGATTCAGTTCACAACACTGGCTCTTGGCCCACATCCTGCCTGCTGCCCTGAAGTTGCCCAGATTCAGCAAGACCCAACACAGCCGGGAGAGCTGGAGCATGAGGTCATGGCCAGTCTGGCGCCTTCAAGAAGAACACGGCCCATGTTTGCTTCTGGCCAACACATAACCCCCATCCTAATCACCACCGCCACCACTATCACAACCACTATCACAACCACCACCACCATCACAACCACCACCACCACTATCACAACCACCACCACCATCACCACCACCACCATCACCACCACCACCATCACCACCACCACCATGCTGGCTTCAAGGTCAGCCACACCCATGTAGCCATGGTGCAATCTATGCCTCCTACAAGGAACCAGGCCAATCATGACTTCAGCAACAGGATCATCCTCAGAGATGGGACTTGAGAC